AATTTCAGATTAGAATTGCCACAGAGTGACCCGTGCAATTATGTTTTTTATGTTTATTTCCAAGCTGTGCTTTGTAAAAGGTTCTGAGTAGGACTCATTAGAATTGAATGTTTGAATTCCTGAGTATTTTAGGTGAAAAATCTTCAGCCTGCTATTTCAGGTTTCACTTAAAAAAATGGTATCTCTGCCCCATGTATGACACTCTGTGAAATGAAGTGTGACACGTCAGTTTTTTGTTACCTCTAGAAGTTCAGAAAGTTAATGACTGGTGCATATTCATGAATTTAGGATGAAGGATGCAAAGGAGGGATGTTACATCAGTGCACCACATTTTCCCTTAAAAACTGTCACTGAAAGAGCACCCTGACTTTATATCCATGAACATCATTTGGCTAAAACTTCCAGTTTCTCAGTTTAATAACAAAAGACAGCATAAGTTTTAGCTACTGATAGTTGGAAGAGACCTGTTGGAGTTGCCCAGGGATCAGGTTATTAATCTCTTTTCTCTGGCACTTTAGATTTGGGGGAATTACGTTTTGACTTCTGTGCTACTGAATTGATCTGCAAATCATATTCCATCTCAAATGGTTATGAATTAAGGATAAGTGACTGTAAGACAATTACTATAGGGTCCACCCTCTGTAAAAATTACTGTTCACATCTAAAGCAGGCATACAGTATCTACTGAGGACTAACAGAAACTGGCTATATAGAAAATGACTTCTTGAAAGCAGGAGGTGTTTGCTTCCTGCTGCAATTAGATGCATTATCACTCTTCAGTATTCAGCAGTGTTGGGATACCAGTCTAGAAAGTTTTCCTGAACTGTAGAGTACACAACACTTCAACTAATTATTAATTTTAATATAAGATTTTTTGAGGGCCTGACTGGAAAACATTTGGACAGTTCCAGTGACTTGAGAGTTAAAGAAGGCTTTAGAGGAGGCTTTTGTATAGCAGTGTAAGTAGCCGCAAAGTTTCCTGGATTCTTCATTTGTTAGTTAGGAATAAAAATTCTGTTATGCAGTTTTTAGAAACTGGTCTTTTTCTTGAAATCCAAGTTCAACTTCTTTTCATTGGTACTGTGTATTAATTCCCAATTAATGAAAACTCCAGTGAAGCTTGTTATGGTAAGTGTAAATCAGTGAAAAGGGATGAAAAGTTGGTAACAGTTGGCCAGGCAATCAGTGTGTAGCTAGAACTATTAGGAGCAGTAAGAAACTATAGTTTAATTACAAACAAAAAAAACCAACCCCTAAGTCTTATTAATGGTAAACTGTCAGTCATCTGCAAAAACAGCTTTAATATTCAGAAGAGAATATATTTCACTTTTTTAAAGAAGCAGCATAAGGCATTCCAGTCTTAAACGATTGAAAGCAAAATATCTTTTCCTGCATATGTATCTAGGAAGAATATAAAAAACTAATATACTACTACTAATGCATCTTAAAAGTCACATTACAAAGTCAAAAACTCTGAATCTAGTTTATCACATGGTAGAGATTTCCTCTGGAGTTTTATTGCTGTATATCATCATCTCAAAGTGTATCAAATAGATCTGAGTGCAGCAATTTTTAGACACTTTGAGTGTGCCTGCCTTTTCTTTTAATCCTATTGGCATTGCATATTTATGGAGTAGGTTGCTCTCTGGTGTGCACAGTTTCGTGATCTACCCAGGCAATACTTTGGAGCAAGCTATGAGCAGTACTTTGTATTTCTAGTTCAATTGCTACTCCTCAGCTGGGACAAGAGAAATTCCCTTCTTCCCTGTGTGCATCTGACTCATTCAAGGGCCCAGCCTGAAATTCTGAAGTGTGGTGTATCAGTCTTGTTACAGTCTCTATTTTAATGTCCTCATATACCCTTGTGAGGTTCAGCTAGGCCAAGTGAAGGTTCTGCATCTGGGTCAGGGCAATCTCCGGTATATTTGTACAGACTGGTGGATGAATGGATTGAGACCATCCCTCTGAAGAAGGACTTGGGAGTATTGGTAGATGAAAACTTAGACATGAGCCAGCAATGTGTACTTGCAGCCAAAGACAGCCAACCATACTGTGGGATGTATCAAAAGAAAATGTGTCCAGTAGGTCAAGGCAGGTGATTCCTGCTGTGCTCTGGTGAGACCCCACCTGCAGTGCTGCATCCAGCTCTGGTGCCCTAAGCAAAAAAGGGACATGGATGTCTTAGAGCAAGTCCAGAGGATGGCCACAAAAAGGACCAGAGGGCTAGAGCACCTCTCCTGTGAAGACAGGCTGAGAGAGTTGGGTTGTTCCACCTAGAAAAGATCTTGTGGTGACCTTTGATGTATAAATGGGGCTTATAAGAAAGATGGAGAGAGACATTTTACCAAGGCCTATTGTTACAGAACAACAGTCGTTGGTTGTGAACCAAAAGTGATGGTATTTGATATAAGGAAGAAATTCTTCACCATGAAGGTGTTGAGACACTGAAACAGGCCCAGAGGAGCTGTGGGTGCCCCATCCCTGGAAGTGTTCAAGGCCAGGTTGGATGGGGCTCTGAGCAACTTGGTTTAGTGGAAGGTGTCCCTGTCCATGGCAGGGGAGTTGAAATTAGATAATCTTGAAGTGTCCCAACCAAAACCATTCAATGATTTAATGACTCCATATGAGTGGACCAAACACAAATGCCATGGACAATCTGAATTACTAGAACTCCTGGAACTTTTGGAAGATTTGTCAAATCTGGTTTTGAAAAAGGATGGAACCCAGGTTAAAGTTTTGTGGAGGTACTCGTAATAAAAATTTCAGCTTAAATGCTTAGTTTAGGAAGACCCTAGAAGTGACTGAAAACAGGGTTACAGAATGATAAATCATTAGACAGACCTGTCAGTACTCATCACATCCAGTTTAAACTACCAGGTCAGTCTAAGCAGTCGTAGTCCTTCCCCTGCTTCTCCAGTATTGCTGTCAGATGAATTCCATAGGGACAAGCACTTTAAAGAGTAATGGCATTATTACAGTTTTTATTTTTGTATAAAGATGAATATGAGGCAGCTTCAGTCCCGTTTTTCTGGTAGTACAGTACATTCAGTGTGTGGAATTTAGCTGTTAAATTACAGCTATGGAAATTTCCAAGGGGGAAGAAGCTAACAAAATAAGTAGCTTTGTCTGAACACTGCAGGAACAGTATATGATCCCCCATCTATGCAACCAGCTTTAGTGGAAAAGCAATTCTGAAATTGGGACATTCAACAAGGAGCAGAATTTGTATTTAATTTTTGTATTTTACATCACAGACTCAGCTCTTTCTGTAGTAAGCCCTTTGAGTCTATTCCTACTGATGTTTATTCATGATTTTAAAGAATGACAATGGATTTCTGCTAATGCTTCCTTCCAATTTAGAGTATTTTCTTCCAGACTGTCTTTTTAACTTCTGATACTTCTCACTGTGCTTGTTTGTCTTTTTTCCCAGTTTCTACATTTTTCACCAGCCATGGATATATTCTTGCCTACCCATTTATCTTTGGAAAAACAAACTCCTAAGCTGCAGAGCATTGGTAGTGTCTGCTGCTTGTGGACAGACATCTTGAGATATGGCAAACAGGCAGACAGCAGTATTGATTGCTCCCTACGTGTTTTGTTCTATATACAAGTACTATTAGGAGCTTTCAAAGGTATTGAAGGAGCTCTAATGATTGTCTCAGCTCAGGAGAAACCTTCAGCTTCTTATCTATATTTACATCCTCCTGCACAATCAGCCAGAAGGGTTAAGGTGGCAAACTTCACAATGGGCTTGCCGCAGATTAAGTTTGGTGGTGGGAAGTATTCGCTCAACCTGTTCCAAGCTCATGCTCTGGGTACATTTACATGTGATGCTTACTATTTCAGGTATTATTAGTATTGAGATGCTGTTTCCAGTTTATCAGTTTATCACAGGAAATTAATCTGAGAAGATCCAGGCCTACTACTTAGTAGATTCTCTGCAGAGAGATGAATCAGCTATATTTATTCTCCGAATAACTGCTTTCTCAGTGCTTGCTTTCTTCTCACTCTAGTCTTTCCTGAAGCATTTTCTGGCATTCCTGTAGTGTTGTGTGCAGAATAAAAGCCAGATTAGTTATGTCACAAAAACTAAACTAATCCTTGAGGTCTGCTTGAGCTCACGTTAATAGATTTTGTGTGAGAATGTTACAGAAGTGTGAGCAAACAGACTGCAAAACACAATGCTGTAAATAAAGCTGCAGGCCTAGAGGGCTGCCGTGTTTCTCAGGCTGCCTTTATCCAGAGCCAGAGGGCTGCTGCAATTCATTTTGCTCCCACTTCCTCCTGGGGGCCAGCTTTTTTTAAAGCAAATCAAGATAAGAGAGCAGTAAGGCCTGCCTGAAGAAACCAGTGGGCTCTGTCTGCTGAACTTCATGGCTGCAGGTAGGGAATACAGAGCAAGACATCCTGCATGGCAGAGAGAGACATCAATTCTTATTTGAAAATAAGGGACAAATGTGCAGGCAAAAGTCTGTAGCAATAGCATCTCTTCATAAATTATACCAGGAAGAGTTACCCACTAATGAGAAGTTAGTCTTCACCATTTTTTATGGTGATGTTTTGCTTTTTCTAATTCTCTTCCTGATACAATTTTCTAGCATATCAAATACTAATTACGAATTATAATTATGTGGCGCTACTCTTACCCAACAGCAAACTCAGCCAGGATAGTATAAAATGAAGCTGCAAGTGATTTCTCATTTAGGAAAATGCAATTTTCTGTGTTACTGCTGTGGGAGAATGTTGTCATATCTCACCTGACACCATACACTGTTCTAGACAATCTTCTTTGGTTATTAGGTGATAAACCACTGTGCTGTTGCTTGTAGGGTTTTCACTGTACCTGTTTGCAGACTCAGTAATTATGCTCTTTTGTCTAATTGCTTATTTATGGGTGTTTTGCTCACATGTTTTAAGCAATGCTATTTGATTGCAGCCCTAATGGCAGAGTTCCCCTCTCATTATCACACCATAACTCTGGGTTTCTCTGATTGCTGCAGGTGGAAACAATAGGTGATGCGTACTGCGTTGCAGCAGGGCTCCATAAGAAAAGCCTTAGTCATGCCAAAGCCATTGCCCTGATGGCACTGAAGATGATGGAGCTTTCAGAAGAGGTTCTTACTCCAGATGGAAGCCCGATTAAGGTAACCCCTTTGGTCTTTACTCTCAGCTAGTCAGTGATACACAGACCTGCTTAATTTCGTTGTGTTCTGTGCCAGAGTGTTTACACTTGCATCACCATGTCTGCAGCTCTGATGGGCCACAGGCCCCTTCTCCAAATTGGTGTAAACCTGCATGAAAGAAGAATCTGTGGACTGCCTGCTCTTTCTCACTGTTAATGTGCTTCCTTCCCATGCTATGCCATTTCCGCTCCCTACTTTGGTACAGCGGGGGGAAACCAGATGTCCTTTTGTAAAATTTTCAAGTTCCTCTGCTGTTCTGCTTCTTTTGGTCCTATACCAACATATTCAAAAGAATACCATTCTGAAAAAATATGTTGGACTGTGCATTTTGAAGAAAATTCTATTAAAGCTTCATGTGAACATTCACTTAGCACAAAATAAACTTTAAAAGACTGAAGATACCAGAAGACATAGCATTTTCAGTTTTGATATAAAACTATTTCAAACAGATGTTAATTTAATCCTACTAAAATATATCTTTTAAATTGATTTTTATTTATATTTATTTATATTTTTTTGCTTCTCCAATAACTATAGGCAATTACATGTGCTATACATTGGTATGTGCTGGGAGAGCTGTCTTCCAGAGCCTCTTCACTTTCTTTTTTTTTTTTCATTGCTTCAATTGTAGGGAAATTTTGAAGGTGTATGTTTTACTCTGAGACTCACTTTTTGTGACTGTTTTCATTAACACACGTTATTTTTCAGAACATTCCTCTTATTTTCAATGTCTGCATAACGAAACCTGTTAAAAAAAGAGATAAAGACATTGTAGAGGAAATATGTATGAAATAAAATGCTGGGAATAACCAAATATTTTCAAAAAGTGCTAATAAACCTCCATTAGAATTCAGAAGAAAAAAGTTCATCATACTTAAACTGGAAGTAGAGGTACTGAGAAGTTCATCATAATTTCTTAGTTGTTCTGTTTTCAGTTTTAGGTGTAATAGATTTCAGGGCAGGAGGGATGGTGATACTGTAGAATGTTGCTACCTTTGTATCTTATCTGGAAGCTGTGCTTAAAAATAAAGCTTCTCTTTCATAGAAGCATATTCTGATTTATTTTAAAGTTTATTAAGATTAGGGTTCCTCCCATGTGGCTGCCTTTACCCTGTAAACTACTGCAGTAAGGACTTTTGGAGAAGTCTACTTTAGTTTGTCCTAGTTTAGCTGTCTACTCTAGGACAAGATGAATCACTCCCTAAAAATGTGTGCTTTTTTAGTTGTCTGTAAAGGAGATTTATGTACTTAACCTAAATGTGGATGTCTATGCTGTGAGCTTCTACACTCTGTCACATGAGTCCTCCTACAAGTGGCAAGGAATGCATAATTTTTCCCAGTGGCTATGTCAATGATCATCATAATTAAAAACATACTCATAATTTCTAAATTCAGTTGGCATGACTTTTGCCTTCCAGACAATGTTAAATTGGCTTGAGTGATCCCTATTTTTGTTAGTCAGCAGTTTTTCACTTTAAAAAAAACATTAAGGGGCCCATTGTGCCACACATTCCCATTAGCAAATGTTCCATGTGCATTAAAATGTCTTAAAGCAGCAGCAGGGGAAGTTCAGATTGGATATAAGGGAGATGTGGTCAAGCACTCGAATGAGGTTCTCAGGAAAGTCATCATGGCCCCAAGCCCATATGTGTTTAAGTGCTTGGACAGCTCTTAAATACATGACTTAACTTTTAGGTTGCCTGGTGTGAAGGTTTATGGAATATATGTATTTTATAAATTACTTTGATGAATGTATTTTGTTATCATCTCAAGGCTGAATTCACCAGAACGCAAGGATTTACTTTTTGTGATTCTTGAAATGTTAATGCCTGAGATAGCAGTGAATATCTTATTAAGTGACACTTCAAGTCTCAAAAAGTTAAGATGAAAAAGTAAATGAAAAGAATTTTAAAATACCATATCACATAAACAGGAACTTAGGATAAGATTTTCACCTATCAAGTGCATTAGTAGATGATGAAATGAGGGGTATCTTATCTGGGTACACTGGGTACACTGTTATCATATGAAGGTGTTCATTGTAGTGATCACAAAAATAACTTCTTTGTACAACCATTTAGACTTTATGAAAAATCTGCCCCTTAGAGAAATGCTAGTGTGGGCAGTGAGCAGTGATGTGTTAGAACCCTGGATGCTGAGAATTTTAAACTTTCTGTGCTGAAAGGCAGACCCACAAGAGAGCACTGAGGCTGTGGAGAAGGCTTCCAAAATTGATTAATAGCACTGGGATTATGGGTGTATAGTTAGAGTGTGTAAAATCATAGAGTGGAAAACTTAAGAGTTTGGGGTTTTAGAATATAGAAATAAACATGAAGCAAGATGGAGGTTTTAGGGAGGAGGCAGGTTGTTCTTCTTTACCTTCTTCTTCCTTCTACTTCATGGGTTCGGGTGATGTTTTGTAATTGGACAGAAAAGTCTGCATTGCAGGCTTCGAGGGATCAGTTATTGGGTTAAAAGGGAAATAATCCAGGTGTCATTTCTTAATTGGATAGTTTAGTCTTAGAAGACCTTGTAACAAGAGATAGTTAGCCATTTTGGGCCTTTGTAATGAAAGGGTGCAGAACTCATAGTTGTGAGGCTGTTTCACTGATAAGAAATAATAAACACCTGAGCCCAAACATGAACTACTGCCTCAAGTGCCTTCAGTCCTGACCCCAACAGAGGAAGAAAAAACAAGCAGAGAACCCGCATGATGGACCTCAGGATGGTGGCCAGGTGTACGAAGCAGGTCTGGTTTGTATCCAGATGATGCTCCCTGCTCTGAGTCAGAGCTCATAGCACGCTGATGAGAGCACTGTGGTGTGCAGCTCACACCTACTCAGGCATTTGGCACTTCCAGCAGAGCCAGAGGCAGCACAAATGCATGAGCAGGATGGGGAGTCTGTGCCAGCACTCCTTAAACCTGTGTGAGCAGCCTGGCACTTGAAGGGTAATGAGGAACTGTTATTTTGCAGAAAGAGAGAGCAAGCTGTATTACAGCAGAACACACAAATCCTATCATCAATGTTGTAACACAGCCTGCCCTCTTAGAAAGAAATATTTGTAACAGAACATGGGCTGATCATTCCCCTGTGAGTGATTGAGGAGGCTTCAGGTCCCTGTGTGTTTTTTTTAAACTCAGTTCTACTAGAGGCAAAATCCCGTTACTTTAGAATGAGGTAAGGCCTTAGTACAAAAGAGAGACTTTTGCTTCAGATACTGCATGTAGAATTTGATATACATTTTTATCCTTTCAGCATAAAATTTTATTGTGGAAGCACTCTTTTGATTTATATTCTGTACAACTATTTATATGTAGTGCTTTATGACTTTAGTCTGAAAATATTGATTTAAAATTGCCTCCTACATTTAAGTGAGTGTTACTTGAGTATAGCATGTGCTTCGTACTTTACTACATTTTTTTAAGATAAAGTGGAATTATGTTAATTTTAATAGCTGGAGATAATACTGTAAGTGGAATTCTCCAAGGCATTGACCTTCAGTGAAAGGTTGCAGTGCAGATATGGAATTCCTAGAGAATATTAATACTTGGATAACTTTTTATCATGCTTCAAAGCTTACCTAATTAATCAGTGTTTGGTGTATATCCCAAAGAAAGAGAAGGATCTCCTTTTCGGATTTTTTTTCAAAAGGGCTGCTGTGACAGAACATACCTAGTTTCCACTAATGAGATTTCCTGAGAAATTATCTGCTTATTTTTGTGGTGTATGAAGGTTTATGTAATAGGGTCATGAAGAGATAAGAACTGGGAACTCGGAGGAAAAGTAAACTATTTACACAAAGCTGCTGAAATTAACTACAATTATTTAGATTAATTGTGTGCAGGTGTTCTTGTCTAAAGCATAATGGTTGAGCCCTACCACAGCAATTCAAAACACATTGCAAGATGTTTTGCTACAGCAGAAAAATTTCATCTATATTTGAAATTATTTATGCTACCATAACATGAGAATTAGACCTGTAAATACTGTAATCCCAAGCTGAAGCAAATACATGCCCCTACCTTTCTTTTTGCTCACTTTCTCATGACTAGTTTGTGAAATACTCTAAACAGAATAGTGCAGAACATTTCTAGCTGATACTGGTTTCAATGTGATTAATTTATTCTCAGGTGAGGTAGATGGGACTTTGCATTTGCATGGCACATAATTTGGTACTCGGCTCAGTTGTTTCTTTATTATCACTTGAAGCTTCTAACCTTCAGATTTGCCAAAGCTATTTTATTATTGGATTGGTAGGCTGCACTCAAACAGTGTAGGCATTAATATAATCTAATTTCAAACAGTAACAGTGTGAACAGGTATGGCTAAACTTGTTACTGTAGCTCCCTCTTAAATGAAGAGTAAATTTAGTCTGTATTCATCTGAAATGCTTGCAGTGTCGAATTTATAAAGAAATATATGAATTAATATTTGTCAGGTAAGTCCCACCTCAAGAGTGAACAGGCTAATGACCTCTCAGAATGGATGATCCCACTGGAAAGAGCTGAACTGAAATGGAGGTTCACAACTTTGATCAGTCACAGCTTTTCCATTTGAATTTTAGATGTGATCCAGACTTTCTATACTTCAACTTTCCGTGTATAGGTGACAAATAAAGCTTCATGGGTAGAACCAGTAGTTTAGCATGTCTAAGATGTATCACCTTACAGCCATGCAGCTGCATTAGTTTTGGTTTATGCTGTCTATTTAAATATCTGTGATCATGACAACTGAAACAATGAAAGCCTGAGTTTGATAAACCTCTAATCTCTGCTTGCCAAGTGGTAATTTTAACTAGCGTGAACTCAGACTTGTGAGTAAGGGCACAGAAGTAGTCAAAAGGGCTCTGTAGATTGTAACGGTTGATGGCCACAGTGAGCGACACACTTTCCTAAATAACATGGAAATGGGCAATGAATTTTAGAGTGCATACCATTTTCTGCTGGTTCATTAAGTATT